TGCCTGCGCACAGCCTGTTGGTGGTACTGGGGGACTCTGTGGTGTCCTGCATGCAAGGCAGTGCTCTAATCTCTGTACTATCTACTCTCTGTCCCTGATTGTGGTCGCTTTAAAATAAGGTCTCTGTCTGTTTTTCCTAATATCCTTCCTTGTAAAAGGAGCTACTGAGTTCTGTCTTTTAAGGGGGTGGCGGTGGGGTTTTAGGAGTGGGGGGGGGGTGTGGGGGGAGGTGTACCAAGTGCCTTACTTCTTGTACTGTCGCTCTGGCCCTAAAATAAGTTTTAATATTTAATAGGGAATGTAAAAAGGAAGACATAAAAATCTCCAATAATTAGACTCCAATGCAAGGAGGACAATTATGAATAAAGAGCACTCTCGCTTTCCAAATAGAACTTATAGCAGATGTGAGTGTTATTGGGGACCCTGAACAAAAGGTTTTGGCCAAGACTAAACCTTACCATTTTTGTTCTTGAGTACATAGAACGTACATAGAATGGGCTGGAATGATAGCACAGTGGGTAGGGTGTTTGCCTTGCGTGCAGCTGACCCGGGTTCCATTCCTCTGCCCCTCTCGGAGAGCCTGGTAAGCTACCGAGAGTATCCTGCCCGCATGGCAGAGCCTGGCAAGCTCCCCCAAAATAGTAACAAGTCTCCCTAGACTAGGGTTTGGGGTGGAGAATATGTTTAGTAAGGTGTCTGTTGTGTTTTAGCCCTGTAGTTCAAGTACACTTTAAGGTGGCCAGAGACATAGCTCAAGTGCAAGGCCCTGAGATCCTTGTACTACATGCTTGTTGTCTACCCTGCTGCCGCCCGCGCTCAAATCTTGAGCAACAAGAGTAGAACTGTTTGCTTGAGCAGTTTGGGCTCTGAGTCGAAGGAGTAATCCTGGGCCCTTGAGCTCTGCGGAGTGCGGTGTAGCCACTTGTAAAAAATAAAGCCAAAATAAGCCACTCAGGGTCAAAGTCTGTAATTGGATTTCGTGTTTAAAGGATATTAGTTTAAGGTCAGGTGTCCCTGGAGAGTTTGAGGTTAAGATGTTTTCCTTGTATCCTGCAGACCTTTTGAATCTCCAGGCCCACATGTGGTCCCCCAAAGCACTGCCAAAGACCTTTCTTGAGCAGAGTCAGGAATAGCTCCAGAGCACAACTGGATTCCCCAAACTTACACACACACACACACACACACACGTATTTATATATATGTATATATAATATATGTAAAATATATTCACACATAAGTGTGAAGGCTGTTTTTTCTTAGTTTGTAAGCAGCATGTAAAGTTGGGATGGAGGAAGGAGAGGTATAAGCCTGATTTTCAATTTTGAAAAAGTTGGGTGGGACCTACATGGTGCTCAGAATCTCAACTGGACTGAGGTATTTGGGGATATATGTTGGTCAGATTCTGGGGTGCCATGCTCGGTGGTGCTTGGGGGCCCTCTAGGGCTACTGACCTAGCCATGCTGGGCAGGTGCAGGGTGGGCACAAAGACACAACCTTTATGGCCAAGTACTAGATTTCTGGCCACAGGCACTGGTTTTTAGTTAGAAAAATGGGAATTAAAATGAAGAGTAGGATTTCTTTCTAGATTTGAACTCTTCAGTTTATAAGCCATTTCATTATAATGAAATAAGAAAGTTTATTTTGAGGAACTCTGCAGACTGCAAGGTGTTTACACGCGAAAGATTAGAAAATGTTAAAATTGAACATAAGACTAATGGCAAGATATATTGTACTCTAATATTTATAAACGTGGGAGTACTCAGTTTCTGAAGTACGACTTAAATGGCAAGTGTGGAGTATAGATATGCTTGTAACTTAGCTATGAAAGTGCTGATAAATATGATGGCTGAGAGTGGATGTCCCAATGAACTACCAGAAATAAAGAAACTGGCCAGGAAGTCATCATGTAGCTAGATAATCAAAGCTTGCAATGGAATTGCATCTCTTAATGTTTAGCTGTTAGAGAAGAAAGAGGACTGTAATGTCCCCCAATTCCATTTCCTTCTCCTTGCTTTTTTTGGGTCACACCCAGCGATGCTCAGGGGTTACTCCTGGCTCTGCACTCACCGCACTCAGGAATTACTCCTGGTGGCACTTTGGGGACAATATAGGGTGTTAGAGATCAGGCAAATGTCCTCCCTGCTGTATTATTGTTCTGGCCCCCACCCCCAGATATTCAAGGCAGAGGAAGAAAGGTATATCCTGATTCACAGCCTTTGCTTATGCCAAATAGAGTAAATTGTTCTACTGCATAGACATAGACTCTTGGAAAGAGATTGGGATCAAATTACAAAATACTACAATGGTGGGTGGGTACCAAGAGACACTATAGGATTAATAGCACTGTGGCACTGTCCTCCCATTGTTCATTCATCGATTTGCTCGAGGGGGCACCAGTAACGTCTCCATTGTGAGACTTGTTACTGTTGTTGGCATATCGAATATGCCACGGGTGGCTTGCCTGGCTCTGCCGGGCAGGCGAGATACTTATTCTTTTGTTGGTGACCCTGCGTGTTAAAATGATGGTTTTGTTTTCAGGCCCATTTGTTAAACTCTCACAAGACTTTTGGGAAAATGTAGGGTGGTAAAGGTAAAGGCCCTCCCGTTGATCGTCGATTTGCTCGAGCGGGCCCAGTAACGTCTCCATTGGAGACTTTGTTGTTACTGTGTCTGGCATATCGAATACTCTCAGTAGCTTGCCGGGCTCTCCGAGAGGGGCGGAGGTATCGAACTCGGGTCGGCCATGTTGGCCGCTTGTAAGGTGAACGCCCTACCGCTGTGCTATTTTTTTTCCCCACTGCTATGTTGCTTCCATTTTCTTAATTTGCTTAGAATAGTATCTAAACAAGCACCTTAGTTGATTTTTATTACTCTTTATCTGCTTTGTAAATTTTCCAAGTTTTACTAGACTATTTTCTTTTTATGCTTGTGAGTTTATGCCTTAATTTTTTTTTTTTTTCTCATAGGAGTTACACCTGGCGGTGTGCTTGGGGGTTGCTCCTGGCAGTGCTTTGGGGGACCACATGGTTTTAGGGTTTGAACCTGGCCTTAATCATGCAAAACATGTGCTCCAATCCTTTGATTTATGTCCCTGTGTCTTAAAATTCTTTCAAGATTATTTCAGTAAACATTTGGGGAGGAACAGTGATTCAAATTAGATGTATTCACTGCTGTGTTATTTTAACTAGGCACTGAAAATATATTCAGTTTTTGGTGCATAGTTTGGAATTGTTTGATAATGTGTTAGATTTTTGTTGATTGCTTTACTTTTGGACCACTTATTCCTGTGCCTGGGTACTTGGGGGTGACCATAAGAGTGCCAGCTCTTGAATCTGGGGCACCCACACAGAAAGCATACGCTCTACTACCTAGAGCTATCCCTGATTCCAAAGATTATTTTTGGTGTTTGCAGTTTTATTTTTTCCATGTGCCAAAGATGTTTTAATGAACTGTGTACTAATTTCCTAGCATATTTTAAAGTGTGTGGGGAACTATGCAGTTTTGATGAACAGTAATCTAATATAAAATTATTTAACATTAATTCACTTATATATATCAAGAAGTTTGCCCATGATTATATCATGATAGAACATTTATGCAACAGTTACTTTAAATCTAGGTCATTTTCTTTTTTCTTGAATGTGTCCAATATTAATTCACTGTATTAAAGACTATAATGACTAATTTAAAATTTAAAGTGTAGGAATTGATCGATGTTTATTGTTATTTTTGAGCCACATCCATCAGTGTTTAGGTATTTTTTTTCCAGCTCTGTGCTCAGGGCTCCTGGCAGAGGGGATTGAACCAGGGCCTGTGTCAGTTTATTAAACCATCCAGTCCTTGGCCATTTTATTGACAACCTGTATTTCCAAGAGGGTTCTGAAGTAAATTGCTCACTAGCCTTTTTTGTAGTATGCAGGAGGGTGGGAGGCATTAAATAGTACTACTTAAAGGGGTTGGGGGTGAATCTTATAATGAGTCTGGATGCACAGGTCACATGGTTCAGTGTTACCACTGGTGATGTGCTTTGGGGTTAGTGATACTTGGGGACATTAGGACCACCCAGCTGCACCCGCAAGGGACCATGCTTTGCCGAACATCAGTCTTGGGGCCTCTGCATGCCACGTCTTTCTAGCCCTTTGGGCCATCTCTCTTAGTGTAGACTTTTGGTCACCACATCTGATGATGGTGCTGGGGAGTTGGGTATTGCTCAGTGTGGTGCTTAGAGGACTGACAGTGCTATCGGGGGATTGAACCCAGGACAGGAAGCTGGTATGAAAAATGGTACATTGATGATAACGTTAGTTTTTAAAATGCTATATTGCTTACCAAAATTGGACTATATAATTGTATTGGAGCCACACCAGTGGTACTCAGTGCTTACTCCTGGCTCTGTGCTCAGAGGTCACTCCAGGTGGTGCTTGGAGGACCATATGGGATGCTGCAGATTGAACCTGGGTTGGCATCATGCAAGGCAAGCGTGCTCTGCCCACTGTCTCTCTCCAGCCTCCCTATGTAACTAACTATAATTGAAAGTGTTTGGGAAGAATTAGTACAAAATTCTTTGTGGTAAACATTATTTCACTTGAATTTTCTGATTGTGTGAAGTGCTATACTGTAATTGTTAGGTGCAGACTGCTGAAGACTATATAAATGACAGGCTGTGATATGAACTTAGGTAGCTTGACTTTAGAGCTTGAAGACACAATATTAAATATTGCTCTTCCCAGTTTCAGTATCCACTTACTATGATGTTCTGATCCTGTACATTTATTTCTCCTATTATTGAAGTAAATTATATTATGTGAAAACTGGGGTTATTTGGTTAAGTAACTCCCAAGCTCATAAATGATGGAGATGTAATTTAATTCAGGTTTACCTAATTCTTTTGAGTTAATTCTCCATTATTGCCTTTTAAAAAATACATATAATAAAGCTTTTTAAACTTAATGTAACATTTAATTGAATTATTGACATGCTTTAAAAATTGTGTTTTGTAGGGATTTATTAAAGATGTTCATGAAGACTCCCTAACAGTTGTTTTTGAAAACAAGTAAGTAGCTTTTTATTGATAGTGCTCTTAATTTTAAAGATGGGTGATGTTGAACTGTTGCTTTCAATGTTTCTACTGTCAATGGATTTGAATTTGCATTTGGGGAGTCTTGGGATTTTTTTTTTTGGTAACCTCTTAGTCTAATTTTCTGCACACGACTTTTACTCATCACTTTTTTTCTGACCTTTGACAAAATTTATTGTGAACATGAATCAGTAAGTAAGTTTTGTAAAAATGGCTGGTGTAAATGAGATTGAAATACGCCTAATTTTTAAAAATCCAGAATGTTAGAATTGATCTTGTAGGCCTCCCAGTGTATTCTGGCAAAAAGAATGCTAGGTTTTTTTTATTGGTATTAATAGAAACTAAAATTAACTTGATACTGTAAGGGCTCGGTAATGTTTTAAATGTGTGAAAAATAATCTGGGCTTGGTTAGGAAGGGTTGGTTGTAATTTAACATTATTTGATTGAAGGTCGGAAAAGAACAGTTTCAGTTTATGTTTAAGTTGCTTTAGAAACAGCCTGGAAAAATAACTGCCCCCAAAGCTGTTTTATGAGGAAGCCAGAATTGAGGTGATTTCTTTCAGCAGTTCAGACAGTGCTGCTGTTTAGACAGTAATGGTGAAAGGAAGCAGCTCCTTGAAGCTATTATTGTGTCCTGCTGTTTTGCCTAGCATTGGTAGATGGTACTTAAAGGAGCAGGAATGTAACTGTGGAATAGCACCCAAGCTATATGATCTATTAGCGCTCAAGGATAGGAAAGAAATTTTGGCAGTTCAGCTTTATACAAAAGTCAAGCAGTAGCAGAATAGCTTGTACATGTATATTTGCTACAAAGATTAAAAACTACCTTTCCTAGATTTCAATTACGGTGTTTTAACTGTTGGAAAAAAATTTACGTGAAAAAATAAAAATCTTTTTGTAAACTCAAAATGAGAATTTATTTGTATCTAGATGAACAAGCATGCGGTGGAGGAATTGTGCATCTTGGAAATTTTGGTGTATAAAGTTGTTCCTTTTGACAGTTTATATACTTAAAAATAATGTTAGAAATAAGCTAATCCTATAGCCGTACATTTGGCAATGGTATAGATGTGACATTTCCAGTCATTATGAATTTAGCTTATGCTGCAAATTCTTTTGCAAATATATGTGTATATATATTTTCCCTTAGCATTAAGTAGTTTAGAGGGTACCATTGTTATTATCAGCAATGTTAATTATAAACTTTGTTGAAGTCATTCAAAATTTTGTTTTATTTCAACAAACTACTGAGAAAATACTTGAAAGATATATTTTTTTGAGAAAGATAAATGAGTTAACTTTGAAATAAAGTTAACTTAAAAAACACATAGTACTAAGCAAACTATATAGCTGCTTGTATTTTTTTGAGAATACATAAAACTACTTAATAATGTCAATTAATACAGAAAATAAGTGATCAATAAAACTAAACATCTGACTGTAAAGCTTCAAAAAGAAAGAAAAGACTAATGAATAAGAGTATAGTGCTTTACCATTTACAAATGTTTCATATACATTCTCATGTGACCTCACAACAACCCTGTGAGGTAAGCAGCATGGATAGTACCTTCTCATTTAACAGATGGGAAAATGAGTCTCAGAGCAGCTGACTGGTGTGCCCAAGATTCTACAGGAAAAAAAAGTATTAATATCAGTCTTTGGCGTAAACATTCAGCACACAACCTCCCTTTATACTTGCCCTACCTGCTTCACAGGGTTAATGAAGATCAAATTAATCGAAGGCTGGAAAAATACTTTGAGGGAGGGAAAGCACTATTTTATTAATATCCACAAACTATAGTTTCCCATGATACCTGGCTCGATGCCCTTCTCCTTCCAGCTTGTGCATGAATCCAGAGTCTTATATTGCTTCTGTTCTCTGCTCAACTAAGCGACTAAGTAAGAATGGAGAAGAGTATGATCCTGTTTAATCTCATATAAATGACAATCAGGATAACTACAGTTATAGCAAATTGAAAAGTAACAAAGAAAGGCTCATGTGCAATTCGACCCACTGACACAGAGTAAAACAAGAGGACATTATCAAGTAGGGCATGATTGCATAGAAGGAAAGAGTGGCGTCAGAGTTCACACTGGTGTGTGCACGCGCGCACACACACACACACACACATATACACACTTGTCCAAGGCAAGTGGTGGAAAAGAGGAGAGATTTGTTCTGTTACATAAACGAGCAGAAGGTTTGTAGGAACCCCTGCAGAAGCAGCTTCTCTCTCACACATCTGTCCAGCTGCCTACAGAATAGCAACACAGGGCCACTTTCCTTCTGAAAATGATTATACCTGTGCTTGTATTCTAAACTAATCCGGCTAAAATATTACCAGAAGCATCATTCTTCATTGTACCGATAAATAGAATGTCTTTAGGGTGATGAATTAAATAGCTGTTTAGATTATTTTTTCAGGATTCACTTTGGATTCTTCTGCTTTTAAGACCCAAAGAAAGTTATATTGAGTTTTTATTGGTGATTCTAAATATGTGTTTGAACAGTTAATGTGTGATAGGTGATTTTTTTTAACATATTAAAAGAGTTCTATAGCATGTGTTCGGAAGATTATACACTATACAAACTATTCAAGTCATACAAAACCAGTTTTCATTGTCTTTTCAATTGAGAAGAATTCTATTCAGCATGCTTCTCCTCCTGAGGTGGTCCATACTGAGCAAGTTTCATTTTCAGTTGTTTTCTTCTACAATCGCTTCATATTTCTCTTTCATTTCTGCCAATTCTAGATAAAGCATCTCTATTTCTGGATTTTCTGGGGTAGCAGCTCCTAAGTGATGCTTTGAAAAATCCAAAGCACTATTAGGTTTCTCTGGTTCTTCATAGAAGGCTACCAGCACCTTGGTGCCCCACACCCCCGACTTCTCCAAGTACCTCCGGAACTGCTGTTGCCCGGCCCAGTGGCTGGAAGACTTGAGGCAACCAGAATGATGTATTTTAAAATGTATCCTTCTTTTCCTTCTAGTTGGCAGCCAGAACGCCAGGTTCCATTTAATGAAGTTAGATTACCACCACCACCTGATATTAAAAAAGAAATTAGTGAAGGAGATGAAGTAGAGGTAGGTATTTATATGTTCATTTGTTTGCATGTGGTTTTTGTTCTAGATAAGAATTTTTATAGAAAAATCTATTTTGCTGCTGGATGACAAATCTTGTTCTGTAGACTTTGGTTGTGTAATGTAGCATTGCTTGAAATTTGGAGTAGGAACTGGTATTCTTTTCTCAGGTCTACTAGTTTGAACTGGCCTGGGTCATTCCTTTGTACCGAAAGTGAAAATGAGTTTGAGAATTTAGTAAGATACTGCCCTTTTACAATTTTGATGTAGAAGAGTTTTATTTAGGGTGGATACTATTTCAGAGGAGAATGTGGGAGGAGAGAGAACAGAAATAAGTAACTTTGTGCCCCCCAAAAAGGATACCTCCGAGTAGTTCCAAGGTAATGCTAATTTAAACAGCCTTGTGTAGAATATGCACGGAGAACTATATATGGTATCAGTAATTGGTTTTGTGTTTTTTCCTCATCTTTGTACAATATTGGTAGCTTTCTTTTATTACAGTGATCCTTAATGCAGTACATTATGTTATATGTGTTACTATATTATACTGTCTTGCTGATTATTCTAGAAAAACTTAAAATATAGATAATGTGAACAGAAACTATTGGCCAGTGATGAAGCTCTTCTATAATATACATATCATTCCCAGCCAGTTACTGTGCCTGACTCCTCAGTTTCAAGTGAAAAATGGGGTCCTTATTGTACTGTTTCTCTTTATTTCATTTTCACACTTAGAGATTTTGCGTATCTGTCTTCAGTTACATTGGCTGTTTGTCATACTACTGAGGTTCAGTGTACCTAAGACATGCACTTTATGCTTGACCCACCACTCTGTCCCTTCAGGGTCTGCTTTTGATTAATATGTCTTTAGGAAAAAGAAACTTGGAAGTAGATATCAAAGGCATAATGAATTTGTTGGAGAAAGAAAATGCCATTTTTAATTTTCAGAAAAGTAATACTGATTCCTATTAGGTGCTCAACTATGCTAATACTGTCAGCTCACAAGAAGTTGAAAGTATTGAAGAGATTTTCAGATCACAGTTTGGTTTATGTAGGGTAGGGAAACTGGAAACATAGCAGCCTTATTTATAAGCATAAATAACAGTACACACTATCCTTAACTTTACTGTTTATTTTTCCATACTGTTTATTTTTCCAGTTGACTTCCATCAGAAGTGGGTGAAGTGGATGATTAGAAGTTTGTTGTAAGGAGACTGATTGTAGTTTAGATGTCTAGGCATGGTATATATTGGGTCTTTCAGAGCATTGTCTCTGATTGGATAGCAAAACAAGGAGAAAAACAGCGGTAAAGTGGCTTTTGAAAATTAGTATGATATTGAATACTTTGTCAGATGAAAAGTAGATTGTAGCTGTTACGCTTCTGGTAACTGTTCTACTGTGTTCACTTTGATACCAGTGAAAATGTGTTTCTCGTATTTTTTCTAACAACATCTGTGTATGAGAATGGATAAAAGAACTTGATTGAAGTTTTTCTTTTTTTTACTTTATTTTTATTTTGTCTCTTAAAACTGAATATGATGGAAGTTATGGTCATGATTATAATCCTAAATTTACATCTTACAGATTTAAATTACCCCCATCACTACATTTCTTGGTTTTCTTTCTTTTTTTTTTTTTTATTAGTGAGACACCATGAGGTACAGTTGTAGATTTACAAATTTTTGTGCTTGGGTTTCAATTATACAATGATCAAATACCCATCCCTCTACCAGTGCTCATTTCCCACCACCACAGATCCCAGTATCCCTCCCCCCTTCCCACTCTGCCTCCACGGCAGGGCATACCCTTTGATTGAAGTTTTTAAAGGACAAGCAGAGAATGACAGTTTTAGAAATGTTCTAGAATTTAGCAGTGAATCCTGTCAGGTGGTTTGTGTGTGTGTGTGTGTGTGTGTGTGTGTGTGTGTGTGTGTGTGTGTGTGTTTTGGTTTTTAATTGAATCACTTTGTGAGATTCAGTTGTAACCTTTACACACTCACGGTTGAAGTCAGTCAGCATTTGTGCCACTTGTCTGATGTTTGGTGTTATTAGAACGATGTCATCAGCAAAGCAGAGGTGGTGTATTTGCTGACCATCTATCTTCACTCCCATGCCTTCCCATTCCAGTCATCTCATGACGTTCTCGAGGGTGGCATTAAAGTTTCAGTGAAATAGTATCACCCTGCCGAACCCCTCTCTTGACATGAATGATTACTTCTTTGTAGAATGGTGAGGTCCTGGTAGTGAATCCGTAGTACAGCTCATGGAGGATCCTGATGTATTGAGTTTGAATGCCCTGATTGGCTAGGGCTTTGATGACTGCTTCTGCCTCAACAGAATCAAAGGCCTTCTTTAAATCAATGAACGTGAGACAGAGCGGCATCTTGAACTCCTGAGAAACCTCAATGAGCTTGGTTATGGTGTGGATATGGTCGATGGTGTTGAATCCTTTTCAGAACCTGGCTGGCTCGCATGGTTGCCCTTCATCTAGTGTTTTGCCAATCCTATTCAGGATGACTTGAGTGAACAGCTTGTAGATGACAGACAGTAGGCAGATTGGGCGATAGTTGCCAATGTTGTGGATGTCTCCCTTCTTGTATAGTAGTACAGTCCTGCTGGTTTTCCACTGGGACGGAACCTTACATTCAGACAGGTAGCGTGTGAAGAGCCGAGCCCGTGTATTGAAGAGTACTGACGGTAAGTTCTTCAGGTGTTCAGGTCTGACTTTGTCTGGGCCAGGTGCTCTTTGTTTTCTTTACCAATGAGATGGCATGTTGGATTTCGGAAGGGAGAACATTGGGAATGACATATCCATCCTGCAGAATTTGGTATGTGGGCAAGTGGACGTGGCTATTAAAGAGATCTGAGTAGAAGTCATGAATAATCTTCTTCATTGCCCTTCTGGAAGATGTGATAGGTACATCAGGACGTTGGAGGGCAGTCATCTTGGTCTTGTAGTTGGTGAAGGACAGGCGGGCATTACGAATGCTTTTCTGCCGCATCTACCAGCACTGCTGCTCTTCTCTCTTTGAGGTCATCCTTGATTGCTTCTCTGCACTATTTTGCCATCTCGGATGTTCGCTTGTGGTTGCCTGAGGCATGCGCCAAGCCATGTTGGCGAATAAGTTCAAGAGTGTTCGAGAAAGACTTTTTTTGTGGTTATCTCTCTTGGCATTCCTCGCACAATTATGGAGGTGCTGAATCATTCGATCGTGTTCCTTGTCAGTGTTGTCAGTGACGGCATTTTCTCATGTTGCCGCAACAGAGCGAAAGAGTGCCCAGTTGGTGGTCGTTTTGGGAGTTCTCTTAAACTTTGCATCCTTTTCTCCCCGCTCTTTGAAGGAGAATTTTGCAAGAAGGAGATGGTGGTCTGATCCTGTTTGGAATTTTGGACAACAGCAACATCGGTCAGGCAAAACCGTTGATTGAATATCACGATCACGACCATCCTGTTATTCGTCGATTGCTTCGAGCAGGCCCTAGTAACGTCTCCTTTGTCCTAGCCCTGAGATTTTAAAAAAAGTGCCATATCCAAGGCTCTTTCAGAGTTAGGAGAATGAGACCCATTATTGTTACTGGTATTTGGCATATTGGGTACGCCACGGGGGGCTTGCCAGACTCTTCCGTGTGGGCAGGTTACATTCAGTAGTCAGCCAGTTTGTCCAAAGTAAGAATGAGATAATAAGATGTTGTGCGGCCGCAAATGCGGCTGCATGCTTCCAGGAGCTGGGTGAGTCTTGGCTGTTGATGGGATTACACGGCGCCAGGGGGCCAGTTGGTGGGTGTGACCCCCGCCTACTGGAATTTGGAGGATCTGGGTGGAGGATGCTCAGCCTCGATCCGAGTAGGCTTGGAGATCTCAGTCCCGGGACCCACATGCCTCTGTTCCTCTGCCAGTACCTTCATGTGTGCGGAGAGTGGTCTCAGCATGGTGGTGGCTGGTTCTGGAGGTCTTCGGCTGCCGGAGCCCTGGTTGGGGCGGGCAGGGAAACTCAACCCGCTCCCCTCCAAGGGGCCCCGACGAGGACAGCCAGGCGCGGGGGCAGGAGACTCTGCCAATTGAATATGAAGTGGTCTATTTCATTGTGGAACCGTCCACTGGGAGACTCCCATGTCCAACGTTTAGATTCAGCCTTTTGGAACTGTGAGTTACCATGGATGGTCTTGGTTGACATGATGAACTTTAACAGTCTGTCACCCAATCTCACAAAGACAATGTTCATGAGAAACAGTCTTGTTCCTGATGTTCCATTCACTCTCAACGGAACGACCATCCCAGAATGCAACAGTTATATATACCTAGGTCTAGAAGTCAACATGACGAATGACCTGGCACTGAGTTACGCAGGAGGAAGAGAGCGGCTTGGAATGCCTTCAAGAGTGTTGAAGAAATAACTAAGAGGACAAAGAACCTCCAGCTCTGAGCACATCTCTTCGATTCCACTGTTCTTCCTGCATTAACATGTCTCAGAGACCTGGGCCCTACGAAAACAGGATGAGAATGCTATTCGGGTCTCTCAAAGAGGAATCGAAGAGCTATGCTTGGAGTATCACACTTCACTCAAATGAGAGATAGAATCCAGAGTTCTGAGCTCCATCAACACTCAAGAATCAGGGACGCTGTCTCATTTGCCAAGGCATCAAAAATCAGATGGGTTGGAGATGTAATGAGATTTAGAGACGACCGCTGGACTAGAGCCATTACTGACAGGATTCCACGGGACGTCAAAAGATCGCGTGGACGCCCACCTACGAGATGGTCAGACTTCTTCGTCAAGACCCTGAATGATCGGTTTGAGGCTTTTCATGTTCCTAGAACGAGCAGATGTCATTGGGCTACGCTAGCACGCAGCAGGGATGAATGGAGACATTACTGGTGCCCGCTGGAGCAAATTGATGAGTAACAGGGTTTCAGGCGATCAAGTAATTGAATCACTATGAGATAGACTTGTTACAAAGTTGTTCATGATTAGGTTTCATGAACATACAATGTTCATACAATGT